TGTGTTTGTGTTCATGTGTGTTTGTTTGTGTGTTTGTGTTTGTGTGAGTGTGTGTGTTTGTGTTTGTGTTCATGTGTGTTTGTTTGTGTGTGTTTGAGTGAGTGTGTTTGTGTTTGTGTTCATGTGTGTGTGTGTGTGTGTAAGAAATGTAATAATATAAATATTAGATTAAAAACTAAAACTAATAAAAATCTAATCTTAGAAAAACATAAAATAAGTTACACTGAATAAACGAATAAAAATTGGCTACTGAACTGTGTATTGTATAGAAAATCATGATGTAAATCTTCATGCGTTGTAGCTGGAGCTAACAATCTGTGAATGTGTCTGTATCGCTCCGCTGCAGTGTTCATGGTGTGATGATGCTCTTCATCAGCGCTGCTCGTCTTCACAGGACGCTCTGAAGCCGGTGTTCACTGTGGCCAGCGTCGCCAGCAGCAGCACTCCACCCACCGTCAGCGGGAACGGAGCCAACGGCACACTGCTGAAGAGCGCAGGACTCATGCAGCTGCCCGCAGGATTCACCTTCATGTCAGGTGTGTGTGTGTGTGAGCGTGAGTGTGTGTGTTATAGTGAGTGTGTGTGTGTGAGTGTGTGTGTATGTGTGTATGTGCGAGTGTGAGTGAGTGCGTGCGTGTACGTGTGAGTGTGCGTGTGAGTGTGTGCGTGCGTGTGTGTGTGTGTGCATGTGTGCGTGAGTGAGTGTGTGTGAGTGTGTGAGTGAGTGTGAGTGTGAGTGCGTGTGTTATAGTGAGTGTGTGTGCGTGCGTGCGTGTGTGAGTGAGTGAGTGAGTGTGTGAGTGTGAGTGCGTGTGTGTCTGTGTTATAGTGAGTGTGTATGAGTGTGTGTGTGTATGTGCGAGTGTGAGTGTACGTTTGCGTGCGTGTGCGTGTGTGTGTGTGTGCGTGAGTGAGTGTGTGTGCGTGTGTGAGTGCGCGTGAGTGTGTGAGTGAGTGTGAGTGCGTGTGTGTCTGTGTTATAGTGAGTGTGTGTGCGTGCGTGTGTGTGTGTGTGCGTGAGTGAGTGTGTGTGCGTGTGTGAGTGCGCGTGAGTGTGTGAGTGAGTGTGAGTGCATGTGTGTCTGTGTTAAAGTGAGTGAGTGTGAGTGTGAGTGTGCGTGCGTGAGTGCGTGTGTGCGAGTGTGTATGAATGTGTGAGTGTGAGCGTGTGTGTGCGAGTGCCAGTGCGTGTGAGTGTGTGCGTGCATGAGTGTGTGAGTGTGAGTCTGTGTGTGCGAGAGTGCGTGTGTGTGTGAGTGTGTGAGTGTGAGTCTGTGTGTGCGAGTGCGTGCAAGTGTGAGTGAGTGTGCGAGTGTGAGTGAGTGTGCGAGTGTGAGTAAGTGTGTGTGCGTGTGCGTGTGTGAGTGTGAGTGAGTGTGTGTGTGTGCGCGCGTGTGTGTGCGTGTGAGTGTGCGAGTGTGAGTGAGTGTGCGAGTGTGAGTAAGTGTGAGTGCGAGTGTGAGTAAGTGTGTGTGCGTGTGCGAGTGAGTGTGTGTGTGTGTGTGTGTGAGTGTGTGTGCGAGTGAGAGTGTGAGTGCGAGTGTGAGAGTGTGAGAGTGTGTGTGTTAGCAGCTATTACTCCATTCTTCAGAGTCACATTAAAAAAATAGTTCATTTTCAGATAAATTAACTTTCTATTAATCATAGAATTCTGAAAAAAAAGTAGCACGGTTTTTAATATTTATAATACCAAGAACCATTATTAATAATTAAACAACAATAAAAAATGAGCAGAAAATCAGCATATTAGAATGATTTATGAAGGATCATGTGACACTGATGACTGGAAAAATGAAGCTAAAAATGGATCACACATTACATTTTAAAATATATTTTTAAAAGGTTTAAATTTTGGCAGATTTTTGAAATGCAAATAAATGCATCTTTGGGGATGTGAGTGTGTGTGTGTGTGTGTGTGTGAGTGTGTGTGAGTGTGTGTGCGTGTGTGTGAGAGTGCGAGTATGTGTGCGCGTGTGCGCGTGTGTGCGTGTGTGTGTGGGGTCAGGGGTCAGTCAGAGGTCACCTGTAAAGCTGTTCAAAAATTAAAAATTTTAAACATTTAAATTTAAGAGATAAATGTTCTCGCCTTTTTAACCAATGAATTTTCAAGACTTAGCCTATCTAGTCTTTTGTGATTTCCTGGAAAACATTCAAAACTTCCAGTCTGTGTGTGTGTGTGAGTGTGTGTGAGTGTGTGTGCGTGTGTGTGAGAGTGCGAGTATGTGTGCGCGTGTGTGCGTGTGCGCGTGTGTGCGTGTGGGGTCAGGGGTCAGTCAGAGGTCACCTGTAAAGCTGTTCAAAAATTAAAAATTTTAAACATTTAAATTTAAGAGATAAATGTTCTCGCCTTTTTAACCAATGAATTTTCAAGACTTAGCCTATCTAGTCTTTTGTGATTTCCTGGAAAACATTCAAAACTTCCAGTCATGTGTGATTTACTTGACAAGAATTAAGAAGAAGGATTTTTAAAAAGTTTATGTTCACAGTTTCTATATATTTTTACAAATGTTTTAACCTTCTGCATAACCTGAAAAATTTATATTTGTTTTAAAAAGATATCCATGGTGTTTTCAGACTTAATTAATTTCTATGACTTTCAGTCATTTGCGATTTACTGGATAAGAATTAAGTTTAAGGACAATTTCTACATTTTAATATGTTTTAGACCTTAGCAAAACTAGTAAAATAATATTCATAGTAAAAATGCCTATGATGTTTTTAGATTTCATTAATATCTGTGACTTTTCCAGCTCTAGAAGTCACACTTTTAAAATCCTTATATACAGTATATATATATATATATATATCCCCGTTTTCCTGATACTTAAAAGACAGAGATGCATCGAGAGAGTTAAAGTTAATGTTTTTTTTGTCTTATTTTAAATCATTTTGAGTCATCTCGCTGTCACTAGGTCAGGGGATGTTGCTCATGAGCTGCATCTTCATCATCATCATCACATGAAGTATTGGGTGTATCATGCTCTTCAGGAGACAAGCACTTCGTGATATCAATCTGAATAACAATAAGCTCTTACTGTGTATTGTGTACTGAATATTCAGAGTCACGTGATGAGAACGAGCGCAGCTGTGAGACGTGAGCAGGATCCGTCTGATGCATTTATTGATCAAAAATACAGTAAAAATAATGAAATATTATTAGAATGTAAAACAGCTGTGTTCTGTGTGAATCTCTGTTAAAGTGTAATGTATTTCTGTGATGCGCAGCTGTATTTTCAGCATCATTCCTCCAGTCTTCAGTGTCACATGATCTTCAGAAATCAGTATAATATGCTGATCTGCTGCTCGACAAACATTTCTGATTATTATCAATGTTGAAAACATTAATATTTTGGTGGAAACTCTGATACATTTTATTTTTCAGGATTCACAGATGAATAGAAAGTTCAAAAGAACAGCATTTATCTTTAGTCACATTATAAATGTCTTTACTGTCACTTTTGATCAATCTAATGCGTCCTTGATGAATAAAAGTATTACTTTCTTTAAAACAAAAGCATTGTGCGTTTGAAATAAACATGGTGGTAACAGCTGCATAATGCTGCAGAATCAGAGCCGGCTCGTGCTCTCTGTGTATTGTCCTCAGTGTGTTTTCTCTGCGTGTGTCTCCAGGCTCTCCGTTTGCTCCCGGGACTCCTGCAATTTCTCTCGGTCAGAGCATCACAGCGTCCTCGTCACCGCAGGGTCAGCAGGCCGTGTTCCGTCTGCCGGCCGCCGTCTCGCTCACCGGTGCGTCTCCAGCACACCCTCACTAGTGCACACTCGGACACTAGCGTGCTTCATTCAGTGCTGCTTACTTCAGCTTTTCACAGACTAGAAGTTCCTGTTGTTTTCTGCGCTGATCGTCACAGATCTCGCATTTCCACCCACATATTTTCATGCAAATTTTGGCATATTGCATAAACAACACCGGTATGCAAAATGCACGTGAAATCTTAAATTGTGCAATAAAAACTGATTTTTTTTTATTTGGTAAGAAACCGTGCATTATGCACTATGATGGAAAGCACATTTACTGAATAAATTACTGATGCACAACAAAAAAATATATAAAATAAATCAAACAAATAAAAATGAATGAAAACTATATAGACATATTAAAAATAAAATAATAATAATAGAAATTACAATATTACAAAATTACTAAAACTTTAAAATTAGATTGAAATTCAAAATATTAAAGGGGTCACATGATGCGATTTCAAGTTCTCCTTTCTCTTTGGAGTGTTACAAGCTGATTGTGCATAGATAAGATCCCTGAAGTTGCAAAGACTAAAGTCTCAAAACCAAAGAGATATTCTTTATCAAAGTTAAGACTCTGCCACGCCCCCCTAAAACAGCTCGTTCTAACACGCCCCCACATATCTACGTCACTATGTGGAAATATTAGCATAATGCCGCCCAAATGTGCACGCAAAGAAAGAAGGCGTGGTTTCAGTAACCGCAGTTAGTGTTGAAGCAGCATGTCAGGGAGAC